CTATAGGACAGCGGCCTCCCCAACAAACGTGGACAATGCCTTGCCCGGTCTGAGCAGCGGGCCGAGCACTTGCAAGCCGCACACCTGCAACATTCGGACGAGCATCACCCCCTTCCCTCTTGATTGTTCATGGCCCAAAGGATGCCCCAAACCGGAAAACTAGGCTCAACATCAACGCTGAGTGCCCTCAAAGCATTTCAAGCAACGAGGCATCCCTTGGCCGTGGCACATTCGGTGCTTTGGTGCCTTGAGACGCAGCACAAATTGTGCCGAGAAAGGCCTGCACCCCATAGATGCTTTCAATGCGCCTCCTCGTCGCCAACTCGCAACACATAGTGCCCTCTCTGCCAGCCATCTGCCGGCACCTGGAACAACGATTGGCGCTGTCCCGTGGCCTCTAGCAACTGGCTTCTTGCCTCCTCCGCCTCCCGGAAGACCAAACTGTGGAAGAGGTTGTGGCCTCGGAGAAGTGGGCGGGGAAACAGAGCAGAAACACCCAATAGTTCACCAAGGCTAGCCAAATTGGGAAGCACCGAACGATCAACTTGGCGCGCATCCTCCTGAAACAGCACTATAAGAATTCCTACCTGCCGGGTGATCGTCGCAGCCCCCTGCAGGAAAGCTGTCGGGGCGCCGACGCTTCTCAAAAGCCTCCTGAAATGGCTCGACCCTCACCTTTTTGCGCGGCAAACGTCTATGGTTGTATCCTATTTAAGGGCATTTGGGGCACTCAAGGGCATTGAGGGCATTTGGGCCAGCAAAGCCACGGGGGTCGCCGCACACTCCTCAGTTCTGAGCCTCAGTTTTTGGGACTTCACCTTGTTTCAGGTTTCTTGCTTCTGTAACTCTCGCACGGCTGGCCACGCATTGAAGGTGCCTTGGTGCTTCACCGAGCCCTTGGTCTTGGGGTTTCATACTTGCCCTTGGACTAGGCCGCTATAGGGCCTTCTGTTGCTTGCCTTTTATTTGTTTCATGGCATGCGATTATATCTTGTTTCATGCGTAAACAGACACAGGACACAGTGCTTCAACTCGCCGCTTCGTCCACGTCCTTTCCCACGGTATTGTGTTAAGGTGGTACGTACGCGGAGGTTTGCCTTGTATTTGTTGCATGGCATGCGATTATATCTGGTTTCATGTGTAAACAGACACAGTGCTTCAACTCGCCGCTTCGCCCACGTCCTTTCCCATGGGATTGTGTTAAGGTGGTGCATATGCGGAGGAAATCTGCGATGGCCGAAGGTCGCTCTGCCTTTGCTTCCCCATTTGTCAGTGGACAACACGACAACTTCAAAGGGGAGACTGCTGTACCACCACCTGGTGCGATTGCTTCCTTTGCTGACTTTGCATTCTTGATGTTCCTTCTGGAGGCATTCTAATGTTTGTCCTCTTCAGAGACGGCTCGCTCCACTCCGGACGGGTGGGTTCGCGTTGCAGCGATTTCGGCGCCCAGTTCGTCATTCATCTCCGGACGCACGATATGTGGATCTTTGCCTGCTACAGCAGACCATGCCTCTACGCGCGTGGCAAATTATATTCCGCCTTCCTGGGATGCATCTCGGGCACCATTACCCAGGCCGCGCCAAGGCAGTTCCATTTTTCAGCTGTTCGGCCCAAGAACTCGATACACTGTTTTCGTTCTTACTGATTCGGCGGAGGCCCTGGTATGCAGTCACTATTGCTTCGCATTCGTTCGTTGGGTCCACTGGTCCTGGAAGAGTGCGCATTCACAACAACGGCTGTGAGGCATCTCATCACGCCCGCGTTTCATGAGGTGTGCTTCTGCCCGGGCATCCCCTCTGCGTTTCATGAGTTGGGTTTCGCTTTGGGTTTACAATCTACCCCTCCGCGGCTTCAGGTTCTAGACGCTTTGCAGACCGTGGCATCTGGAATGGACCCCTGCTCGTTCCTGCACCTCCCTTAAAGGACCTCTATGAGTTTGCGGTTGCCAAGGTGCCTGGCAAGGAGCGGCGCGAGGCCATGCCTTAGCCTTTCAGCTTTGCCGTGTTTCTGGAAGGAATAATTTAAGAGGGATTGGATCCGTCATTTCCGCTTGTGGTCCAGTGCCATTCTGCTTCGTGTTGGGATCCTGTGGAGTTTGCGCTCGTGGCACAGGCTATCGGACCAAGACTGCCAGCCCCCTGCTCTTGGACTACGGCACTTGCACGCAACTGAAACTTGCACGCATGGCCTTCTTGCCAGCCAGTTTCCCGCGCCTTGGAGTAAGAACAGCGATCAAAGGCAGCGCGAAGGCGTTTACAACTAGCGTTTACAATTTGTCCGTGGTCAACATGACCCTTTCAGATTGGTTTACAGGGAAACCAACAGGAAAACTACCGTTTTGGCGGTTCCCGATTTTGATGCATACCGACCCACCTTCCAACCAAAAGGCTGCCTACCTGCAAGTAGACACAACTTGAGGGCTTTGACTTCTTTGAGAAATGATTCAACCAGAGGCAACAAGTTGGGGCCCTTCTTTGCTCCAAACTGCCGACTGGGTCGCAGCGACGTGCTCAGTCCTCCAACTTCTTTACCTCACCTAGGCTGGCCCACGTTGGAAGCCGACTCAGTCAGACTTGAACAGGTCTTGCACGCAAACTCGTGTGACACTGGCTTGCGCAACAAGGGATGTTTAAGATGGCTTCAACTGGACGCACATCATGACCCTATCCAGTTGTTGAAACATGAGGTGCAAACGGCCACTAATTGATATAGGGATGTACTAAACATGTGAGAGTCTCCCCTAAAATGGCTGCTGCTTTTTTTAGTCCCCCCCCCAAAGACAACAAGAAAAGGATACCCTCAAAAAGATGGACCCAGGTACTACTAGGACTCCTTGAGAAAAGGCGGCTCCTTCAATTTTCTTTCTGTTCTCGCGAAACTGCTTGGAACTTTTTAAACGCAGGCCTGATGAGCAGACAGATCTGTGGCGTGGTCCCAGAAACGACAAGCTCACCTGAGTCACCTAACGAATGGGCCACTCAAACTCCATCTTGGCTCGGCCTGCCGCTAGCTGTATTCGCCAGCAAACCTTTGGAATGGCTTGGCTGGCTCCTCCTGGAAAACATCAGGAGAATCTCGGGGCTGTCACGTGCCTACGAAAAAGCTGCCACCATGGAGGGATCCTTCTAGCTTGGACACGTGGCAAGCCCTGAAGTTGCAGCCTAGCTGCATGGAAAAGTGTAAAACCGAGTTAAGAAATGTGTTCAGCGCCAGACCGCCAAACGTCTCAGGCCACGTTGGCTTGGCAAAACTCACATGGCGGCAATGGCCTCAGCCTTCTTGACGATGGCATCCGCCTGCAAAAAGTTTGGTCAAGTTGCCCAAGCACAAGGTGATTGACTCAGAAGAAACCAGCCGGAAATTATGCAAGAGTCTCCTGCACCTGGTTTCTATGATTGACTCTCAATCTGAAAATTCATAAGGCGAAGAACACGCTAAAACTGGCATGCTTGGGCGGAAGTCAGAGCATGATGCAAAAGGCAAGTTGAGATCTCTGAGACATGCCCTTGAAGGCACCTGCTTGATGGAGGCGATGTCCACCAGCTTGCCGTCCAAGGAGACCGCTCCCAAGCCCTGCGCCAACTTTGGATGCGTTTAAAGGATAGATGCTACCGATTTCACTGTGCCAACAACATCCTGTTGCCAAGTGCGCAAATGCCTCATGGATCCGTGCAGTGTCAACATTGCTGTGACTGTTCTGGAAACTCAAAGGGAAACCTGCTACACAAACAGCAAGAAACGAGCTCCGAGCCTAATATTTCTGGATTCCCAAAAAGGGACCATTGCGACCGAACAATCCCAGGCTGTATGAGGATCTACCTGGTCGGATGGGAGGTGTTTCGGCCTCGCGTTGCGCCGTCTCCATGGCTTCTAGCACGCCTGAGCTGAAGAGAAAGCAAGGGCAAGGCACACCTTCCCTGGGACACCGGTTCCGGGTTCCCATAACGTTTCCCTGGCACCTGTGGCAACCTCCGGGGCCTCTCTGCATCGCAAGTGGCGCGCAAAGGGGCACAAATTGAACGGCAAGTCACGCTTGGCTTGGGCGACCTCAGCCTCACCAGGGCTGAAGACTTCGTTGGCAATGGCCACCTGAGACGTTTGCGCAATGTGCTTGGCTGTTTCACCCACCGGATTCAGGCGGAAAGAGGACAGCCAGCATGAAAACTCTGGCCGCACCCGCAAGTCCCCTCGTTAAGGTCTGCCGGTTTCAACAGAGAATCTCACCTCAATGACTCAAATGCGAACCATACCGATGTTCAAAGGAGCATCAACAGCGGGTCAGTCAGCCACTCGGCCCACAGGCTCCTTCCCACCCTGCCTGGCTGGGGTGGATTGCCCACTTCCCTTCCATGCCCAGGGCTGCACCCCGGAAGCACTGCGCTTTGTAGCCATCAGGGTCTGCGATGTCACCGAAGGGACCTTCCGGCCGAGAGCTATCAAAAACAACTGAAATCACTGGGACAAAGAAATGGAAAACTCCAAAGTCAACCCAGTAGAGAGAGCAAGGCTATTGCTGCTCCTTTCATGGGTTGCGCTAGCCAGCGGCGCGGGGGCAACAAAGCCTCATCTCCCTCCAAGAACGCCATCAATACACAACAGGCCCTGAACAAGCTGCGACACCGCCAACTCTGAGATCCCAAGTGCCAAACCAAACAAGAAGAAACACAATGTCATGCCGTCATGCCCTCTCAAGGCACCATCCACGGGCCGGAGGCCATTCGCCCGCGCGGCCACCACAATGCGAGACATGGCGTAGTGCCAGGGGTCACCCCAGAAGAAGTCGCGGGGCTTGTCACCGTCCTTCAGAACCCCTGTTTGCCTATGCCAACCTAAAGATGCAGCAGGGATGTGCCTTGCGAAATGGCCCGGAAAACACAAGCAAGGCTGCCAGCACATGCTGGTCCTGGTCCGTGAGCACGCCGTAGTAGCGGTTGGGGCCGCCAATGTTTGTGGTTCTGCTCTTGGTGGAGGCAGCGTAATCCGCGACGCCGAAGTGAAGCGACTCGTTGCGCTTCGAGGCGCCAGCGATGGCATGGATGTTCATCATGCCTGTGGCCCAACAAATGTACACAAATGGCTGCCATCTTGCGTGTCTGAAACAGAATGCGTCCGCAGCTCCGCTGGCATCAATGACACTCTTGCCTTTGGGACAGGTGCAACGTCTGGGAGGGTCGCCTATGAGGACTCAAGCGCAAGAGAGCGCGAAGGGCAAGGGAGACCGATCTTGCCCCTGCCCAACGCCTCAAGAAAGTCCTTCTTTCAGGCCGAGCAGCCCATGGTCGCCTCGATGATAAGCCCGAAGCCGAGCTTCTTCTTGCGGCCGACCGCAGTCTCGACTTGGCTCACCAGGGCATCAGCCATGTAAACGTCCTCACGAGACCCAACAATCGCTCGCAACAGGCAAACAAGTCGTACTTGATCAAGCAACCACAAGACTTCCACTCCAATGATATGCTCTCCGGGCCTTGTCAGTGCCAACCATGGGCACGATAAACACGTCGCACCGCTCACCAGCCTCACAGTCACATAAGTGTAAAGGCAGAATTGATGGTTAAGCCACCAACCCCTGAAGTCTTGCATGCGGTTTCATAAGCGTGCTTCGCCTGTCCCTACAGGATGACATATCTACGCTTGCGCCTGCTCAATGATTTCGACCACATCCTTGTACATGTGATGGCTGTAGAGCCCGTTGATACGGACCTGAAGGACGCACAGTGCAGCAGTGCAGCCTGCACTGCCTGCACAGCCTGCCCGCACTCTCCGAGTATCCGGCTGCCACCGTCTTGTTGCCAAAGTCCACCTCCTCTGGACGCACGCCCACACGCCCCGCCCGCCCAAAGCCCAAATTGCCAAAGCAAACCCAAGTGCCGCAGCCACCCGACTCCCAAACCCCAACGCACACTCGCCCGAACCCCGCGCTCCTTCAGGGCGTGGATCACGTTCTTGCGGGCTGTCTCCTTCTCACCAGCCGCCACGGAGTCCTCCAAGTCCATGACCTACGGCGCTTGCGTGCACTTGAAGAGTGGCACAACGGCGCCACTTTCCACAAACGCCTTGCCAAGTGGCCACGACATCCGCCTTTGACTTGGCAGCCTTGGGGATGATCTTGGCTTGTGTCCCCGGCACGTAGAGCTCGCAGCCTGATCGGCTTCGATCAACCCTTTTGCTGAGCTTCTCAGATCACATCTGGGGCCGCCCGCGGTTCAGCCGCGGGGTGGCCTCGAGAGCCACGCGCAAAAAACATCCGCCCAGCAAGACGCCAGGCCCGCCAACAATTTTGAGGCCCGTCCCTCCCCGCATAAAAGCAGTTCTTTGTGGAGCATATCTACGGCTGCACTTTCACAAAGCAGTACCAGTGCCAATACGCAAAGGGAGTAGGTTTGGAGCCCCTGTTGACATGCCAGTAGGTGAAACCTGGATCTTCTGATATTTGAATATGTCCACCAAATGTCAGCGAGCTTTGGCAACTTTCGTCACAACTGCGTCAAGCGTAAAGATGCAAAAGGTCGCAATGCCCTTTGGGTGCTTGCAGAGTACTGATGTTTGACCGCGCGATCCTTTGTAACACAACTGATTCCGAAAAAATGGCCACTTGTTGCCGGGCCCCCCAAGGCGCCTCCTCGACCACGGTAAAGCTGTTGCGGAAGGCGCCCGTCACTGGAGCTGCAACGCGACCCTTGAGGCCTGGGCTGTGGCATAGCATCATAGATAGATGCTCATAGATGCATCATACATAAGACTTTGTTCCATCTTGGGGCAGTTGCTCTCAGGCTCACGTTTTGGGCCCCAAGCCGCTACGAAGGCCCTGGGCCACTCGGGAGAGCATTCTGGACAGCCTGCGAGAGTGGCTTAAACAGCAGGCGAGCAGCATAATTTCGAAGGAAGCATGGAGAGCCAAAGAAATGAATTATGAGCCCAGGTGCCCCATGAATCCGACAAATCCTGCTACAAAGGAAACAAATCGGCTTGCATCAGGCATGAATGCACGCCGACCTGGTCAGCCTGGCAAGGGTGGCACCAAGTATCTTTGGGCCCAAACTTCGGAATGGGCGGCGGGCTGACTCTAAGATTTCTGCCCACCATGGCAGGAGGCCCACCGCCTGCATGACTCAGCATGTATGCTCCGCGTTGCCACCACCAGGCTCAAACCAACGCGAAAGGCGAGCTTCCCGCATGCGCCAGCCTCCAGCTTGCCCCACTACCCCTGTACCTTGCCGGCCCCTCCCCCCCGCCGGAGGACGTTTTGTTTCCCGTCTGCCAGCCGAAGGCCAAGATCCAGAAACAGGCCGGAAGCCAGGGAGTCCCTCCCGAGCTTCTGCGAAGCCTTCCAGCACCCAATCGAAACTGAGCTCGCTGGCGAGATGGCAAAACTTGGGCAAGCCCTGAATTTCAGGAGCAGCAAGGCCTGCAAGGCCTCGCTGTTTGCGGGAAAAGTGTAAAACTGTAAAATGTCATTCCTCAAATGGTGAACGATTCAGAAAAATCGGAAGCTGCATTGGCCCCCTCACGACATGGCGGCGATGGCTTCGGCCTTCTTGACGATGGCGTCTGCCTATCATTTTAAGAAGATGAGCCACGCGCAAGACAACAGGATCACGGACTCGGACAGGTCCCTTCTGACAGGTCCCTCTTGCACCTGCTTGATGGAGGCAATGTCAACCAGCTTCCCGTCCAAGGAGACGGCTCCCAAGCCCTGGCGCTTGAGCCAACTAGGGACCTGCCTACTGCAGTTTGCACCCGTGCCTTGGAGGAGGGCAAAGTTCGGGCATAGCTGGAATCAATATTCCCATGTGGCTACCCATGTGACAGGTTGTCTCGAAGTCTGTTTAAAGATGCTGACATAGCTGCGTCTGTGCTAGAAGCCCGTACGCCTCTCTCTCTCTCTCTCCCTCCCCTACGCCTCACGCTGTGCTGTTTCCATGGCCTCCAGCACACCTGAGCCAAGAAACTCTACTGCATTAATGAAGTGTGACTGAACACAAAGCACAAAGGCGTGGCCAAGCTGATGAAATGTCCTTTGTTCCAGGTTCACCTTCGCAACTCAATGAAGTTATGATTCGCCGCGCCTTTCTCTTCATGTTTGAAGGCATGACTGCTTGAGGCAAGTCACGCTTGGCTTGAGTGACCTCAGCCTCACCAGGGCTGAAGACTTCGTTGGCAATGGCCACCTGAGACGTTTGCGCAATGTGCTTGGCTGTTTCACCCACCGGATTCAGGCGGAAAGAGGACAGCCAGCATGAAAACTCTGGCCGCACCCGCAAGTCCCCTCGTTAAGGTCTGCCCGTTTCAACAGAGAATCTCACCTCAATGACTCAAATGCGAACCATACCGATGTTCAAAGGAGCATCAACAGCGGGTCAGTCAGCCACTCGGCCCACAGGCTCCTTCCCACCCTGCCTGGCTGGGGTGGATTGCCCACTTCCCTTCCATGCCCAGGGCTGCACCCCGGAAGCACTGCGCTTTGTAGCCATCAGGGTCTGCGATGTCACCGAAGGGACCTTCCGGCCGAGAGCTATCAAAAACAACTGAAATCACTGGGACAAAGAAATGGAAAACTCCAAAGTCAACCCAGTAGAGAGAGCAAGGCTATTGCTGCTCCTTTCATGGGTTGCGCTAGCCAGCGGCGCGGGGGCAACAAAGCCTCATCTCCCTCCAAGAACGCCATCAATACACAACAGGCCCTGAACAAGCTGCGACACCGCCAACTCTGAGATCCCAAGTGCCAAACCAAGCAAGAAGAAACACAATGTCATGCCGTCATGCCCTCTCAAGGCACCATCCACGGGCCGGAGGCCATTCGCCCGCGCGGCCACCACAATGCGAGACATGGCGTAGTGCCAGGGGTCACCCCAGAAGAAGTCGCGGGGCTTGTCACCGTCCTTCAGAACCCCTGTTTGCCTATGCCAACCTAAAGATGCAGCAGGGATGTGCCTTGCGAAATGGCCCGGAAAACACAAGCAAGGCTGCCAGCACTCGCTGGTCCTGGTCCGTGAGCACGCCGTAGTAGCGGTTGGGGCCGCCAATGTTTGTGGTTCTGCTCTTGGTTGAGGCAGCGTAATCCGCGACGCCGAAGTGAAGCGACTCGTTGCGCTTCGAGGCGCCAGCGATGGCATGGATGTTCATCATGCCTGTGGCCCAACAAATGTACACAAATGGCTGCCATCTTGCGTGTCTGAAACAGAATGCGTCCGCAGCTCCGCTGGCATCAATGACACTCTTGCCTTTGGGACAGGTGCAACGTCTGGGAGGGTCGCCTATGAGGACTCAAGCGCAAGAGAGCGCGAAGGGCAAGGGAGACCGATCTTGCCCCTGCCCAACGCCTCAAGAAAGTCCTTCTTTCAGGCCGAGCAGCCCATGGTCGCCTCGATGATAAGCCCGAAGCCGAGCTTCTTCTTGCGGCCGACCGCAGTCTCGACTTGGCTCACCAGGGCATCAGCCATGTAAACGTCCTCACGAGACCCAACAATCGCTCGCAACAGGCAAACAAGTCGTACTTGATCAAGCAACCACAAGACTTCCACTCCAATGATATGCTCTCCGGGCCTTGTCAGTGCCAACCATGGGCACGATAAACACGTCGCACCGCTCACCAGCCTCACAGTCACATAAGTGTAAAGGCAGAATGGATGGTTAATGGCTGCATGCCGTTTCATAACTTCATTTTGCATCTTCTACACTCTGATGCCTGACTTGCCTGTGCACTTCCCGCTTGCTCGTCTGTGCGCTCGTTTTGTTGCTTTGCCCGGCAGCACCACCATTTCCATCCACCCGGAACTAACTCGTCTGTGCACTTTGCCACCATTTTCAAGGTCAACCCGAAACTAGCTTGTGCACTTTGTCTTCTCACAGCCACGCAGGGGTGCGCCCTTGGCGAGGGCTACGCACTTGATCCCAGACTCGTCCCCACCACCACCAACCACCAACCTCCCAACACCATCGATACCACCACCACCACCACCACCACCACCACCACCACCACCACCACCACCACCACCACCACCACCACCACCACCACCACCACCACCACCACCACCACCACCACCACCACCACCACCACCACCACCACCACCACCACCACCACCACCACCACCACCACCACCACCACCACCACCACCACCATTTTTGGGTTAGTTGGGTTACACACATATGGGAGGCAACGTGAATCATTTTTTAAATCCATGTGTTTACAGCCGATTCAAGATTGACCAACCGTGGTTGCAAGGACATCCCACAGGCTTGCTTGGAAGCTGCAGTGACGAAAGCCTTTAGCTTGGCACTAAGACTCCCGTTTGGATTTTACACCATACGAACCAAACTAAAATCAGCAGTTCCAGCCCTTTTTTCCGCCGGCGAGGTAGAAACATGTTCTGACTTGTCCGAAATGCCAGTGCTTTTCTCAAAGCGCTCCTGTCGGGACCCTCTCTGCGAATCATACCCCGAAGCAAGCCCTGAAGCATACCCCCCGAATCATACCTCGAATCGTACCCCTGGTGACCCCCCGCTGTTTGGTTTTCCATGCACCTGGACGTCATAAGTCTCATACCGCAACATGGGCTCAAGCCCTTCTTTCTTTCAGTCACACTTGTCTCCTAGCGCACATTGTGACCAAGACAGGATAAAGAAGAAGCTTGCTGTGTATTGCCCTCAGTATGCACAGGACAATCACGCCAGGACCTTCCAATCAGAGCTTCTCTCATCAGAAATAAGTTGCCCCGGAACGGGACTCACCCCCCCCCTACAAGCAGCTAGGACGCAGCTGCCACACACGGCAATGAGCGAACGCAACTCCTCCACCCCACTCGCTCCCCTCTCCCCCTGGCCCTAGCTTGCAAGCAATCAGGGCAGCCGCGCGGCCACGCATAATGAGCGAACCTAACTGAACTACCTCAACCCCTCCCCCCGCCCCCTACCCCTTGCAAGCAAGCAGGTCATAGCTACGCGACCGTGACTGCCCTACTGACCCACCCCACCCACCCACCCCCCGCCAGGCCCAGCAAGAGCTCGCTTCTGAAGCTGGATTGTGTGGCAGGCGCAGTACTTTGAGCGATAGGGGCGCAGGTGAGCAACTTTGAGGTGTGCAGGTGAGTTCCCGCGACTGGGGACATGAAGGGCGCAAATGAGTCATCTATGGAGTGCGCAGCTGAGTACTTGCCCCTTCTACCCTTGCGCCTGCTCAATGATTTCGACCACATCCTTGTACATGTGATGGCTGTAGAGCCCGTTGATACGGACCTGAAGGACGCACGGTGCAGCAGTGCAGCCTGCACTGCCTGCACAGCCTGCCCGCACTCTCCGAGTATCCGGCTGCCACCGTCTTGTTGCCAAAGTCCACCTCCTCTGGACGCACGCCCACACGCCCCGCCCGCCCAAAGCCCAAATTGCCAAAGCAAACCCAAGTGCCGCAGCCACCCGACTCCCAAACCCCAACGCACACTCGCCCGAACCCCGCGCTCCTTCAGGGCGTGGATCACGTTCTTGCGGGCTGTCTCCTTCTCACCAGCCGCCACGGAGTCCTCCAAGTCCATGACCTACGGCGCTCGCGTGCACTTGAAGAGTGGCACAACGGCGCCACTTTCCACAAACGCCTTGCCAAGTGGCCACGACATCCGCCTTTGACTTGGCAGCCTTGGGGATGATCTTGGCTTGTGTCCCCGGCACGTAGAGCTCGCAGCCTGATCGGCTTCGATCAACCCTTTTGCTGAGCTTCTCAGATCACATCTGGGGCCGCCCGCGGTTCAGCCGCGGGGTGGCCTCGAGAGCCACGCGCAAAAAACATCCGCCCAGCAAGACGCCAGGCCCCCCCCAGCAGCAAACTTCCCACTCAAGAGTTGCTTTGCTTGTGCGTTTGCGGTGTCTGTAAGTTCACTCAGAAGCGTCGCCGACGAGCACAGTGCCTGAAACCCAATGCACCCGATGAGCCAGCTGTGGAGATTCTGGCCCCAGGCGCCTCCTCAACCACCGTGAAGCTGTTGCGAAAGGCGCCGGTCACTGGAGCGGCCACACGGCCTTTGACGAGGCCTAAGCCGAGTCTTGGCCCTGCCTACGAAAACTCTCAGTGCCTTCCGGCAGTTGTGTAGGGTAGTCCCCAAATGGACTTCGGCCTCGCCCTGACAGGTTGTTGGTTGCCTTTGTGGCATGCGTGAGTATGGGTTTCTCGTCGACTTTTACCCTTGTGCGCTGGGGTCGTGGGTGCGCCGCTTGTCTTCTTTGCACCACATGGCCAAGAACAAACCTGGAGAGCCACAGCCCTTTTTGGCCACGTCACGAAGCAACAAGCTTCACTGCAATTCGCAGGCAAGAGATGTGTGAGACTTGCCCGCAACCCCAGTTGCTGGCATCCGTCCATGCTCTGGGCGCCCAGCCGCGAAGGCCCGCGACTCGTGACAGCATCCTAGTCCTGGATGTGTCTAGGCCAGGCCATCGAGCTTGCGGCGCATATTTGTCGGATAACAGAGGCTGAGCAAGCAGCTCAATGAGTCATGAAGTAAAATCGTTCTTGTTCGCGCTTACTCTGACTGTGTTTGGTTTTTGTTGAACGCGGCAGCTCCAGGGGAACCATCAGACACATCAAAGTTGTTTGCGGGCCGCTTGTAATTTGTTGCACGCTTCATCCTGGTGTGCAACTGATGCCCTGCAACTTCAACATGCCTGGATTCACCCTGGTCAGTCCTGGCAGGGAGGCGAGAACAAGGAGTATCTTTGAACCCAAACTTTGCATGCATTGCAGAAACGGCCGCAGCCTATGACCTCAATGACTTGCTTGTTTGCTAGCGTGCCAATACTAGACTACATTAACACAAGCTCTTCATGAGGCCAAAGATGGCAACAAACAAAGGGCAAGCATCCGCTCCCGACACTCTTTGGGCAAACACGACTAGCACAAGCAATCTCAAAACTGGCCGAAGACGCGGCATAGTGGCGTAGCACTCAGGGAGTCCAAGAGTGACAAGGAGTCTGCAGGGAGTCCACTTGTAATCTTCTCATGAGCTGCCGTCTGGACCATGATGTTATACAAGTGCGTCAACATGCTCGCTGCCAAACATGCTGTGTATTTCTATCATCCATCATCCATGGGATATCCTGTCTGCTGTAGCACTAAGTTATGTTGCCCCTTGCGCATAGTCTCATGCCAAAGCCATAGTCTCATTCCACCCTGCCGAGCCACAAGCCTCCCCCGCCCCTTTAAGATGCGCTTTTGCTGGGCTCAGTCTGCAGCTGCCAGCCACGTGCACAAATCCAGGAACAGGCCAGACGCCTGCAGGACTCCTAGCTGTCGTGTCAAGGCAGCGCCTCAGATGCAGTTCTTGTGGTGGCGGGCCCCTGAATGTTTCACACGGCCTTGAAAATTTGAGGGGTTCTTCTGTTAATAATATGCTCCACTGCAAGTGCCAACCACTGGACGAACCAAAGCGAATGCTCAAGACCAGGCCCCAAAAACACAAATTCCTGTCTTTTCCCGTGCCCATGTGACATGACAAACTTTCTTGCAAAAAGGCGGACAGCCCTGATGAAGCAGGGTTGTTCACTTGTTACCATGCTACTTGAGACTCTGAGATGATCCCAAAGAAAGAAACCACAACAACAAACGCCGTCCGGGCGCGGTGCTCTGTGCCACTTCCCCCGCGCAGCTCTGCAGCACCTCCCGCGCCAGGCCCTCGCCCTCCTCGCCGTCTCTGACAGCCAAGCGGTTTCGCATTTCTCATTTTTAGCCGTGGGCCTTTTGGGGAGAGCGGGGCAGCTGGGTTGCAGCAAGTCCGAAATCGAGGAGTGAGACTTGGGATCGAGAAATTTGAAATCGAGCAACATCTGCAACCCTGTGAGTGGAGTCCAACATGAAAGGGTGTAGCATGGTGTAGCCGTCTGTTACAATGCCAAAAGCTACAAGTGACCCACGCTGAGCAAAACAAAGAGGAGCTGTGGGTCATGCCCCTTCATGAGTTCCAAGTGGCCATTAGTAGTCACAATTGGCCACTCATTGTGTGAGATCAATTGATTCGTAGTAGGACAGCCTGGCAGCTGACTGCTTCCTCCACAATCGTGACTGCCGCTCTGCCGCTGTCAGCGACGCCCAAAAACTCTAAAAAGGCCTTCCCTTGGCTTGGCGCCGCCCTTCCCTCAAGGTGAAGGGTCCTGGGTGTCGCTGGCCAGCAGGCTGAGCAGCACTGCCTCGACCAAACGCGCACGGCACGTCTCCGCCATCTCCTGCAGCTGGCAACCCCCAGCACGCAGGCTGCCTCCCAAGCATTCGGTGGGCATAAGAAAAACCCCTCTCTGATGCACAGTGTTCTAAGGACCGCATCCCAACACCACGCAGAATTGTACTCTAGGGCTGTGAAGGCTGAATTCGATCTGTGCACCTTTGATGATTTGCAAGCGTTGGCAAGGCGAAACTTCGGCAAAACTTCACATGCAAGAAGACTTCTTTCATGTTGCCATTGCTCTGCCTCCAAAACGCTCAAGCCACCTGCCCCTGTGCCCCTCCCCCCGGTCCGGCGGTGGGCTAGCACTCAGCACCATGGGCATCTTTCCAACCGCCGCTTGCGGCAACAGCGCCCGCAGGCGGCCACAGCAGGCTGCAAGCCCGGCCCGGTCCTGTGATCATGAACTGAGGGCCCACCAAACCCTGAGGGGTGAGCCATGAGGCCAAATTTCTGGGAAGAGACAAAGGCAGCCCTGCAATAATGTATCCGCACATTGGTTCCAGTACCAAATCACAATCATAGCGCAGCCAAAAAGGTACCCCACACAACCGCCAACACCACCCAACTCCCATCACAGTCGACAGCCGCCAAGAAACCTTTCTTCATGGAGCTGCAAAACGCAGCTGCAATCCAATCAAGACAATCCGAGTCGCAACTCGCTGCTCCCATAGCACAATGCAAAAATTGCATCTTTGGTCACAATCCAAGATTTTGTGAAGAGAAGCAGAAACACGCCGGCAAAGCCTGGCAAACGGCATGAATCAGTGATGTCGAACAGCATGAATCACTTCCTATTGATACCAACGTACCCCTATGCCCATCCTCCGTCAGCTCATGGAGCCGGTGCAGAAGCTCCACCGCTGCCAAAGCCAACTCGTCCCCCTGGGCCAGGCTGAGCGCGGCACCGGCGGCACGCTTGGCCTCCGGCCACCTGCAAGCGCAAGTGTTGCTATGTGCAAGCCGCTCTGGCTCTGTGCAAGTTGCCGCTCTGTGCAAGTTAGTGGGTTCGGAAAGTAACTTCAAAGAACAGCCGCACGCGAATGGGGTGACGAAGAGCTGGATGTGAGAGCTAGCGTTCAGAAGCTTAGCAACTGTTCATGCCTGATCCCGACATGCACAAAACAATTCAAAGTCCATATGGCGCGCCTTCAACAGAAGCGCAAGACAGGAGCCAAAGCTATTGCATGCCACTCGATGATGGCAGGTTTGTCATTTCTAATTATTACTTCAAGTTCAGGGCTTCACGCTTCAACACTTAAAACTTCCACTGATGCGCAGGCAGTCCAAAGTTCAACAAAGGAGGAAAGTTCTTGCGCCCAGTACAAGTCAAACGCGAGGAAACTTCGACCATGCAAAACCTGCCCAAAATGAGGTGAACACCAATACCACAAAAAATGCACCGGTTTCAGAACGACCTTCAACGACCCTCAAACGCTCAAAGCCACTGTATTCCGTCCTGCTATGGCGCAACCTTCCCAGACACGGGCAGGTCATGCGAAGCTCTTGTACCACTGCACAGCTGCCATACGAGACGTTCCATGACCCTCACCTGCATCATTGTTTGTATGCTGTTCTCGTCTTGCCTCATCCCGCCCCTGCCTGCACAAGGCAGCCAAAGCATTGGCGCGAGCCATCAGCACCAAACATCTAGCCTGGCTTGCGTGCAGCGTCGTAGGGATACACTCTCCTTGACTTGTCAAAGAAGTCAATTGCCAACGACAGGCAGGAGAGGCCTTCCTCCAAGAACCCAAGAGCCTTTAAAAGCCTCAAGGCGGCCAACCCGCGCAGCCTTGCCTCCGCCTCGGTGGCCAGGACCTCCGCCTCCTCGCAAAATCTCAAGGACTGCCATGCCGCGCTCGTGGCCCCGGAGAAGTCCTGGCAAACCAAACAGAACTCCGGCCGCTGGGGTCGCGAAGAAGCATGCGTTGCAAACGTCTGGACACAAGGCGCCCCCAGCTCTCCCATTCTCTCCGCCCCACCCCCCGCAGTTCCCAAAAGATGCAAAACCCCATGCCGTGAACGCCTGCAGCTGGCACTGCAGCCGCGCGAGCTGCGCAGCCGCTTGGCTACGCTGCAGCAGTTGTTCCAAGCTGGAGCCACGCACCGCCAACTGTTGGCACAGCTCTGCCCTCTGCTCCTCCGGCGCAGTGCCATCGTGATTGTGGTGGCATGATCGGCGTGGCGCGCATGAAAGGTACGCCGCATGCGGTTCCAGTGTGGAAACTTGCCACTAGCTTTGAACAAAGCTGTGGAAACCAAAATCGATTGCTTGATATATCTCACTGTGTCACCATGCACGCACAATCAAACTACCACCTCCCAAGCTCACAAATGCAAAAGGTGCTACTTGGTGCAGCAAGTCGTGAGGCGTTCCTCCAGCTCTGCGCGCTCGTTCTTGATTTTGCCGGGGAACTGCCTCGCGAGGGCGTCGGCATTGCCTCTGCCGGCCCAAACCTGCGCCAAAGCCCCTCTGAATAGCCTGTTTTCTTGGCCCGCTCCATAACTGTTGCACCATTCACTCGTGAAAAGTGGAGCCCGTACCCACCGGATTTTCATCTGTGAGCCTTCAAAATGTGCATCATGCTCGCAGTGTTATCGGTCGGCTCTGCCGCCACCCCTTCACCTCTCCATCCCTCCCATCCCTCCCAATCTCTCCCATCCCATCTGGGCCTCCGGGTCGGTAAAGCACCGGCCGGCGAGCATCTCCTGGCGCAACTCCTCCGCCCAGCATGGCAGCACCGCCAGCTCCCCACCGCGCCGCGCGCGCGGCATGACCCGATGCTCCTTGAAGCTGACTCCGCAGAAGGACTCAGTGCCAGCCACAAACGGCATGTCAAAACCCATAAGCACATATTCACTGGGGTCCCAGGTCAAGGTCGATTTCATGTCCCAAAAGTCAAAGTGCAACACTGCCTAGCTCTTTCTGCTAAAGCAGCTGCACAACATAGCGCGAGATCGCTCAGCAACACCCAAAGTTCCAACAACAACCCAAAATCCCGAAGTGTGGAAGGCCACCCACCTCGTACTCTGCAAGGCTTCGTCGCGTGCCCAGGCCATACGGCGTCGCGGGCGCTGGCGCTGGCTCCCGTGCAAAGCGCTCAACGCCCAGCAAGCGGTAAAGCCTGCAGACCACGCCGGCTCCCCCCCTGCAGGTCCAACCAGCCCCAAGTCCATGTGCAAACAAGTTGGAGACAACAGAAAAGCGTTGTGGTTTTTAGGCTTCGGTGATCAAACGCCGCAACGCAAAGAAAAAACAATGATTGCATCACCCAGCTCCAGCATGTCAGTCTAGCGCGAACCGAAAGCTCCTGCGCACTATGCAACGGCACCCACGTTCAGCCAGCGTGCGTGTGCGAACAGAGGAAAAAAGCACCATCTCATCCAAGCCAAGCCGCCGCGCTTGGGCGTGGCGATGCCGCCTAGCGGCCAACTCAGAGCGCTGCACCTGCCCCACCCCCCAAGCAAGACATGCAAAGCACGAGCTTCCTGGCCTGTTTGGCAGGGCCCCTTGCGACCCTGCAAACAAGCCTTGAGTGCGTTTAGCGACTGTGCCTCAGTGTAGAAGGGCCGATGGGAGCGAGACTGCAGATGATAACAGATGACCTTTGTTGGGTTGAAGCAGTCCCAGCCGGAGGTGAACAGCCGCGCAGCCATGGAGATCTCCTCGCCGAAGAAGATGTAGTCCAGGTAGGGGTCGTAGGGACACTTCCGCGCTGCCAAAGACCTCGAAAAATGGAACCGTGCTGTCCAAAAGAGTGCCGGAGGTGGCGATGACACCTCGCCCAGGCAAAGCCGGCTGCCGATCCGCAGAAATGCATCATCTTGCCCCGGGCATTGGTCCCCAAACTTGTCAGCGCAAAGCAGCGTCATCCCGTGGCGCCGGCTGAGCGCAGCTCGGTCCGGCTCGCCCGGCTGGTAGTCCCGCGGCAGCTCGTAGGACGCCTGCAGGCTGGTTATAACCGGACGCGGGCTGGGGCAGGCGTCCAACTGGTCCAGCAAAACCTGGTCCCAGTGCAGGACAAAGCGCATGTGACTGTCAATCTGGAAATAGAACTCTTCGTCTTGCATGAGATGTTTTTGAATCATCGCGCGTGCAAAGCAAGGCCCCTTGGAGTCCGTGTGCGGCAAGAAGTAAGTGCGAATTTGTGATGCCCAATGGTCCAGGTCCAGCATGAAGCATTCATGATCGTCTGGTGCCACTTGATGGCACACACCCGCAACTATACGCTCAGGGAATCTTGCCTTTTCAAACATGTCGCGAATGGTGTACTGGCATTGAGAGTCGCGGTAGCTCGCTATGGAGACAAAAATATGCCCGTTATCTTTGACAGCCATAGTGAGTCAAACTGCCATTCCGCACGTGTGGAGGCTCCAGGTCCCTGTCTGCCACCCAGCAAAGCTCTTTGGCCCGCAGCATTTCACAATCTCATGTCTAGTGCCAGGTGTGTCACTGCTTTGCAAGAGGCCTCCTACAGCTCATGTTGCTGTGCCTTGCTCTCAGGGGTCACCAGTCTGGTGTTGTCTTGACCCAGTATGTTCATGTGGGTGTGTGTGTGTGTGCACTCGATGCTAAGCGAGAAGAATGTGTCTGCCGTGCAATAGCTGCCGTGATGAAAATACCAAAACTGCGAGCGTTGAACACATTGTCAATGTGCGATAGGCAGCTGGGGTGATGGCTGTTCGCTCCAGGCCTGCAAAGCACTGCCAAAACCCTTCACTGCAAATTGCAGCGTCAGCGCAGAACGGCAAGCGACAGCTCAAGGAGACAAAATGAAGGCCGCCCTGGGATAGTACAACAAAATACAGACTGGTGGCAGGCCTGCGAGAATGCATTTCCATGCTCACAAAGCCAGATTGCATCTCAGGAAACAAGGGCTTTTCATCTGCCTCGGGCGCGCCTCATGCATGGGCCGAAGAAATTGAAGGCCTATGAACTGCAAAACGAGCTGTTCGTTGACTCAAACACTCCCAATGCCTCCAGCTCAGCCAGCAGGCGATGCTCCCCCACCTGCCGCAGGACATGAGCGGAAGCTTCCGGATGGCACTCTGCGCCTCTAAGCCCATAGCCCAAGGAGCTCCGTGATGTATCATGAGCCTCCGAAACCGAAGCCAACCGAAGCCAACCGAGGCCAACCGATCAAACCAAACAACCATCCCCTCGAACTCAGAAAACTGGGGGCGTCGGCTGCACACCAATGCCAGAAAGGTACCTCGCTTGGCAGCAAATGCCTGCAATAATCGTATAGGCACCTCATGACTAATGACTCGCATGACCCCATCCCTGCGCACTCTTCGGCGACAATATCACAAACTCGCCGAATTTGGTCCTCAAGCCAATGCACAACTGGCCGCAACCCTGCTTGAGAGTGAGCAAAATCAGTCCTCCCAAAACTCTGCATTCAAATAGTCGCGGGCTCTGTAGAATAGAGTAACCATTGCAGGTATCGGTTCCTCCTCCTCTGCAAGGCGCAGCCTGCAGGCTGGGAACGCCAAACGGTATTGAGTTTCTCTCAAAGAAAGACCACGCACCTGGTCCGCAAGATGCCGCAAACAGCCCTGGGCACAGCTTTGCCATTCACAATCTCGGCCACCTGCTCAGATAGCTGGCAACCGCATTTGCACTGGGAGTTTGGTCTGGCGGATTGGACTCTTCCATGTGTTTAGAATATGAAGTACCCAGAGAGGGAAGAACGCCAACAGGACCGCGCAAGATGTCCCGCGTGGCTGGCATGAGAAAGGGCTGGATCAAAAGGGGCCAGCCTGCAGTAGGTCCAAGTCGCGATTGTTCCGCAGCGCCTGAGCATGTTTGGCACGATCAAGGCACAACCAAATCACAAGTCAAGGCCCTGAGCAATCTTCTCACAAATGCGCAACTCCCAAGAAGCGTGCCGCGGACGACTCAGCCCACGCGCGGACCTGTCCTGCCCACGGCATTTACCATCAAGCATCAGCAATCGAAAAAGGAAGCTGCGTGCACAATTGTGACAAGAACTGCAGTAAGTGTCAGCGCTGTCAAGCATGAAAAATGTCACGCCTATCAGTCTGTCATCTGGGATTTCACCTTGGCAAAAACGAGTTGACAAACGCGGCCACCAAAACAAACAACAACCATGGAGATTGATCGCGTGCAAACAAGGGGCGGTTCGAGAAAATGACTCCAGGAATCTGTGGAAGCGATGACGCCTGTCTGCACACACATGACCATTGCACTGCATGGCCCAATTAGATCAAGAACGCGGGCAGCCTGCCGCCCGAAGCGCCGAAATACCTGTTCCCAATCCGCGACAGTGCCAGTGAGAAGCGCAACATGCCAGCAACGAAAACCACAGGCAAATTTACCGCGCCTGCGATGCTGCAGCTACATGGTTGCGTACTATGACATTCATTCCATCTAGGTCAACTTTCTCAAGAAAATACAACTCAATTTGTTGTTCATCTGGACACTCTGGCACCCGACGCTACCGGCCAAGCATCCTGCATGAAGGAGTATCAGGTGCTTTAATCAGTAGTTCCTTAGGCAACACTCAATTCTAGCAGTTTGCTGGAGCCCCATGCGGCGGATAGATCATCTACATGTGTCTTTCTTCCCGAAAGCATTGCGAAGGGTTCTTCCGGTAAAGTCGTTGCGTCCTGCATGCACAGCTCAACTGCATAGGGAAAGCACACAATGAAATGCACAGAGGCATGCATAGGGCAAGTACAGAGTGAAATGCATAGAGGCATGCACAGGGAAAGTGCAATGAAATGCATAGAGGCATGTTCGGGAACTAGACAGGAAAATGCATAGAGACATGCGCAGGGAAAGTAGGCAGTGTAATGTGTAGAGGCATGCACAGGGAAAGTAGACAGTGAAATGCATAGAGGCATGCATAGACAAAGCACACAGTGAAATGAAATGCACAGCGATCTTGCAGTCGCTGTGGTCGAGGTGCGAAAACTGAGCGCTGATCGGCGTGGTCGAGGTGCGAAAATTGTGTTTTTTTTTTTGTGAGTTGCGGTGCGCGCGCGACCCTCTGCGGGGATCGGCGTGGTCGATGTCAAAAAAAGAGGGCCTCTTTGACGATTTCTGCCCGGGGTGCGGATTGATTTTTGGATTTTTTCGTTTTACTTTTGGATTTATTTTCGTGTTTCGTCCGGGCCAGTAAAACGTCATATTTTACAGCATTTTCTCGCAAAATTGTCAACATCCCCAGGGAATCCCCAGCATCGTTTTCAACATCCCCCGCATGTCCGACCAACATCCCTAGCATCACCAACAAATCAAAATCTTAAAAGTAGTTGGCGGGTTGACAGGGTCGAAAAAAATGATGATTCAAATAGGAGGGCATTTCACAGCAGCAGGGGGGTTGGGGGGGGGGCAGCCCCCCCTCCATGATGTTGGCAGAAGTGATGATTCGAATACGGGTGCAATTAGATATCTGCAAAAAGTCTAAAAAGCAGCCCCCCCCCCCATGATGTTCGAGGGTGCAATGATTCAAGAAAGGGTGCGATAGAATATAAAAGCAGCGGGAGGGTTGGCGAGGGTGGCTTCCCCTATGATTTCGTAGAAGATATAGATTACATGGATTGCATAAAATGTTGTATTTCACAGCATTTTATCGCGAAGTTGGATGCTCGAAAAAATGATGAACCAAATAGGGGTGCAACTAAATCTCAGCAAGAAATCCAAAAAGCAGCGAGGGTTGGGGGGGAGGCGGATGATGTTTGAAGAAGTGATGATTCAAACAGGGGTGCAATTATATCTCGGATTCAAATAGGGGGGACTGGTGATGCTGAGGATGCGGGAAGCCAAAGCCAAAAACCAAATGAACCGGAGAGGAACTGGGAAAGCAGAAGCCACCAAAAGCCGCATAAACCAGCGAAAAGCTGCAAACGCCACCTGGTTTGAACTGGAAATGCAGAGGATGCGAAAAGCCAAACCAACAAAAGACCAAAGCCGCGTAAACCAACAAGAAGCCAAAAAGCCAAGAAGCCAAGAAGCCGAAAAGCCAAGAAACCAAGCCAAGAAGCTGAAAAGCCAAGAAGCCAATTTGCGGGGATCGGCGTGGTCGAGGTGTAATAGCTCGAGGTTGCGTTCTGCGCGCGCGACCCTCTGCGGGGATTGTGCGTGTCAGATCGTTCTCTCGTCTCTGTGGTCCCGTGTGAATCTTCGCAGCCTGTGGGGATATGTCATGTCCGCCCCTTCAGCTTTCTAGCAACCCAACCGGTTAGACCCCAGGCCGGCAAGGTCGCGTGAGTGGCATCACACGAGGGGCGACACGAGCGAGCCCGCAATTTGCGCAGGCAGTCAACGGGCGTTCATATCGCGCACCAGGGCGTTGCTCGTGACGCGCATCATCTGCGCATGCGCAGAGCGCCTCAGCTGCTGGATAGTAGCTTTTTGGCTCAAGTTCAAGCTTGGACTTTTCGTGGATGGATACGGCCGCGTCCTCGCAGTTCCCCGGCGCGGCTGGAATGAGATGGGCTGCCCAGAAGGCCGCGGCTTCTGCGCCTTCGTGGATCCAGCTCCCCCCCACTTGCCGCGAGGCCGTGGCGCACGCGGCAATGCTTTGCGTCGCAGGCAGCCCGCCGCTGGATCTTCGTGGCCAGATCCAGGGGCCGTTCTGCGCCTGCTGGGCGTGGTTCTGCTTGGGCTGTTTCGCGGGGGTCGCTGTCTCATCCTCGCGGCGTCGGCTGCCCTTTGGCGCCCAGGCCCTTTGCAGCCCCGGCCCTCCCAATGCGACCCGCGCGAGCGCCCGGCCCGGCTCCGCGCGGAAGCCGCTGCCGAGGTGGCGCGGTGCGTGGCGCGCGGCGGCGCAGGGGAATTGGAGAGCTTGGCCATGGCAGCGGGGATGTCCGCGCCGGACCTGCTGAGCAGCCTTCTGCCACCCCCCGGCCCGGCCGAGGAGCATCTGCCGCAAGAGCGTGCGCGGCAGCCCGCGAGTGCTTCGGCTCTGCTTGTGCGCGCGCAGACGGAGTTCGCGCAACCAGGCGGGCCCCTCGTGCCCGCCAGGCCTGCGCCGCCACACTCGCCGCCCCGTGCCGGGGCGGGGGCGCCGGGCCGCCTCCGCGCGGCTGGGGCTGCTCGCCTGTCGCGCGCTCCCGGCGGCGTTTGTGCTCCCGCGCACGTGCGGAGAACCCAGCCCTTGAGAGGGCGCGCGGCGCGCCAGTCGGGGCGCCCGAGGCCCCCGCCCCACAGAACCAGCCGCCGCACGTTTTGTCCAGGCCCTGCAAAAACCCTCATGCCGCGCGTGCCGCCAAGCCTGACGAGCAGAAGCTAGCTCGGGCGTGTCCATGTAAAAAAAAGCCGTGGCGCCTAGCCCCCTCACCAGCAGCTGTTTCACCGGTGGCCGCGCAAGGCCTCCACAAGCGCGTAGGCGGCAGCCACGTGATCCGGCTGGCCCTGACGCTTGCCTTTGCCGTGTCCGGCACCCCTTGCCCTTGCCCTTTCCCTTGCCGGATCCGCGCCGGCCGCGGGCGCGACGCCGAGGAGCGTCGGCAGCAGCAGGCCCGCTGTCCTGGCGGTCACGGCTGCGGCTGCGGCGCCCGCGGCTCCCGCTGCGGCTATCCGCCGAAGGTCGCCTGTGCAGACGCTCGGCCTCTTCCCTCGCAGCTGCGGCCTCGGCGCCCAGGAGGACAAACTCCGCCAGCTGCGCCAGCGCGACCAAAGCAGCCGCCAGGGCAGCCGGAAGCACGGGGGCTGCTTCAGCCATAGCTCCTGGGCACAAGGAAGGGCAAGAACAACGCAACGAGAGGGTTGCCCGTTGCGAGGGGCGGCCAGCACCGGCGCGGGCTTGGCGGGACGAGCACGCGGGCAGCGATCCTTGGAAGGGCTGGCGAGTCGGCGAAGCTCGCAACCCGGGGCGCGAGCAGGAGAAGCGAGAGCGCGCCCTCGCGGCGATAGCCAGGGCTGGAATCGGACAAGGGGCCTGCTGAGCCGCCCGGCCCACATAGTCCTCCGGGTGGCGCACGAGCGATGCGGGGGACAGCGACTGCGTCCTCCTCTCCGCAGCCCCGGGGCTAAGCGGCCGGCGACACCACACCGGGGTTCGAGCCGCTTGCCGTGCCAACGACGCCGGCAGGACCGTACCGGCGACGCACTGCCTCGCTGAGCGAAGGCGTCCGGAGGCGTCTCAACGCGGCAGCGGACGCGACATCTTGCCCGCCCAAGGCAGCGTCGTCGCTGCCTGTCGCGAAGGCACGTACAGCCAGGAATTCCGCGCAGGGATAGCGCCTGACGGCGGCCCGCGGGAGGCCCATGGTGCGTATCCAACCCAATAGCAGTCAAGAGTATGGGGCGCTGTCTACTCTTGAAACCAGAGGTCATTACCATAGATGCAAGCTACTGCGAACGAGCAAAGTCCCTCACCAGTTGGTAGGTGGGTTTTCCCAGTGTTCATAGGCTTCATCCATCCGCGGCGTGCTTCGCGCGTGATGGCTGCCTCCCGGCCACAGCGCAGGCTGTGTTGCTTGAGGCCTATGGCGGCCTGCCTGTTGCGGCTGAGGCTTTGTCCCTCGCAGATGCCATCCGCGCCGCCGAGCTGCCCAGGCCTGTAAGAGCGAGCCGGCGTCGCGGGCGTCGTGGCAGCGGCCGTGCGGGCCGCCACCCGTCAGCAGACAGTGGAGCCCCAGAGGACTTTGGCGCGGACTCTGCCCCGGAGGACGGGCCTGACGAGCCACCAAGCGCACAGGCTCGCGTTGCGGGGGGAAGGGCTTGATGCCTGTTGATGCGGCAGACGGATTTGGAGATCCGCCATGGAAAAGCGCTCAATATATGGTCTGGCACGGTTGGCATGGCAACCTGTAATCCATTGGTG